TGAGATGCCAAGACAATAAAATAGAAGAAGAATACACTTTTCAATAAATGGTACTAGAAGAATCACAGTGTCTAAGCCTCAAAAAATGTCCACACTCAAAAAATGATTTTGGATATTTCCCTCAACACATACATAAAATTAATTTCATATAATGAGTGTATCTAAATGTAAGATATAACAAAATTCTTAGAAGAAAACATTGCATACATGACTCCATTCACTGTCCTACACCCTTTCCTTATATCCACCCACCCCATTTGTACCAACCCTCAGACAGAAGCAAATAATTAAATATTTCTCCAAAGAAGACACAAAAAAGCAGTTAGTACATGAAGCTATGCTCAATACAACTCTAAAATAGGGGAATGCAAATCAAAGGCACAATTGTATATATCATCTCACCCCTTTAGATAGTTATAATAAAAAACAAACGATAACAAGGTTTGGTGACTTATATCCACAAATAAATCATTACATTGGTAGGATTGCAAATTGTGCAAACATTTGAAAAATCATTCTAGCTGTACCTCAAATGATGAAAGAATTACTTAGATGAATTAGCATTCCCTCTCCTAGAGGATATGAAAAACTACATCTGCACAAAAAATTATATGAGTGTTCATAGCACCAATATTCATAGTAGTTAAGCACTTACTCTGTAGTCAAAATCTCTGTCAATTGATGAATGGATAAAGTACAGTATAATACAATGGAACACTATTCAACAAAGCAAAAAAGAGTGAGAACAAACACAAATTATAGCAAGAATAAGCCATCAATACATTATTCCAAATAAAATGTCAGTCACAAACACCTCATGTTATGTTATTTCATTTATATGAAATGTCAAAAAGATTGTGATGATAAATCTTGATTGTCAACTTTACTGGTTTGAGGAGTGTCTAGGAAATTAGTAAAGCAATCTTCTGTGTGTGTTTATAACAGAAGAGCTTTTACAGAAAGCTCTCTCCTTGCTAACCACCATGATGTGAACTGCTTACCATGTTTCCGAACTGCCATGGAAAAGAACCCTCTGAGACCAGAAACCACAATAAGTCTTTCCCCCTTAAGTTGTTTATGTCTAGCATTCTGTTAATGCAACAATAAAATAACCAATACAAAGATGTTACTCTGCCTGTCTGCAGAATATCATTTGGTAGCTTCGCAAGTAAGTCTGTTGTTGGGGTATCTTTGTGGGTGATTTTAAAAGCTCTGATATTGAATTTTGTGAGTGTTGTATAGCTCTGGAAGTATACTAAAAACCATTGCATTTTACATTTTAAAAGTGTGAATTGTGTGATTTGTAAATTATACCTAAGTCAAATAAATACCAGAGAAATAGTAAGCTCTAAATAAAAGAAACAATGAGATAAAATATGAAATTGAGAACATCAGTAAGAGACTTAACAGGCAAACATGTTGTATTAAAATGTGTAAATACAGATAAATGTTGCCCTTAGCTGACAGTTTATTGAACCCAAGTGTCATATAAGGAAAGAAGTGAGAGGAAAGGAAAGGAAAGATGTCTCAAATCAACAACCTGAGCTCATATTTTATGAAACTACCAATAATCTCAAATTAAACATACAATTAAATAAATGAATGATAAGTATAATGGTTCAAAAAGAATAAAGAAGGCAGAATAATAACAATAATATATAAATTCATCAAAAGTCATTTTCTTATGTCAATAAGTGATAATCCACTTAATCAGTCTGCTCTAGCAAAAAAATTGAAAAGACAAGAGTCAGAACACTAAAATGAAAGTAAAGGATAATGAATCAGTGTATAGTGATGGACATTAACAGCCCATGATGGATAAATTACTAAAAGAATAATTTTTACAAATAAAAACAGGCATAGCACTTTTAAAAAGGTAACAGAATGGCCTTTATGCAGGAAAATGAATTTTCAGTTAAATTTTTTAATAAAATAAACTTCAGACCTAGATAACATTCTTGAGAATTCTACCAAATATTTACTAGTCTTCAAAGTCATAAAAATCAAATAAGAAGGAAAACATCACAATTCATTGTGTAAGACAAGCATTTCACTGATACCAAAACCAGACACAGTATTCACAAGAAAGAAAATTAATGATAAATGGTCTTTATAAAACATAGATGAATTTTTAAAAAGTTATCAATGTTAGCTGGGCCCCAGTGGCTCATGCCTGTAATCCTCACTACTCAGTAGGCAAAGATCAGGAGGATCACAGTTTGCAGCCAATCTGGGGAAATAGTTCACAAGACCCTATCTCGAAAAAAACCAACACAAAAAAAGGGCTGGTGGAGTGGCTCAGTTGTAGACCCTGAATTAAAATCCCAGCACTGCAAAAAAAATTAGCAATTTTAATCTAACAGTAAACAAAAAGATAATTAATGAGCACAATAAACATGGCTAACATGATGGATTTGATATATGAATATCAATCGGTATGATTCACTGTATCAAAAGATTCAAGTAGTAGTAATACACCATCATCTTATAAATGAATTGACTAAATTCAATATTATTTAACTTTATATTGTAGTCATTCATAGAGACAGAAATTGGAATGGTGGTTTCTTGGGGCTGGAAGGAGAGAAAAATGGGAAAATAAATCCCTATGTACTTTTTCCTCTTTAATTTGTCCTTCATAGACCATGTTATTCTTCTGTGTTTACACCCAAAATATTGATGGCTATAACTTGGATGAGCTGAAATATGTATTAAGTGCATCTTTTGTATTTTTTGCTGTTCTTAGGTAATTCTGAATTTACTGAAGGTTTAAATTCATATACTGACCCTCCCATGCTAGAAATTACGACTTTAAAATACAGCCATAAAAAAGAACTATATCTTCTTTATTCTACTATTAACTAAAAACATTATATATAATAATATAAATCTGCACAGAAGGGTGGTACACTGACTTTCATCTCCCCACAGAACATTGTGAGAATTCTGCCTCTGGTGTGGTAAAAGGAACAGTTCACAACCTGGTCTAGTCTGCATTGTTCTGTATGTTTTATCTTATGGTCTTCAATTTAGATTAGACATTTTATACTAGAAGTCACTCCATATATTAGGACCGTATTCTCAGTCTTTGGTTAGGGATTTGTGTATTGTTCACTTGAAGTGGAGCTCTTATCAAAGTTTTTTAATCTTAATAATTTGTGAAATTTACTGCAAATATTAGAATGGTGCATAAATTATATAAACATTCACCTATTATAAAATAGCACCATAAAACCAGTTTCCATATGTGCAAATTGAATATCGCCAGCACTCCAAGCCCTGTATGAGCCCCTTCTTGAATGTCACTCAATCCATTCTTCCCTTCTTCATCATAATTATGTTGAGCTACATCTCTGGCTTTATTTTATACCTTCATCATTTAAATGAGGCCTCAATGTCATGTGCATTCAGCCCACAGACAGACAAAGTGGAAAGGGCTCAACCTGATCCTGGCATCATGTCCGTTATTTCTGGAACTGTCCCAGACCACATCCTTCAGGAAACACTGGGGTACGTGTGTTCTGGAGGAAGAAGTGAACAAAGCCATTTTGCCACACTAGGTCAATCATATTGGTGCCAAACATCACTGATGTGAGATAGAATAAGATATTGAATGTAAGAATTTACTGCTGACCCTGAGACTAAATATACAGCCAGAAACAAGAATAATAGCATACACCACTCCTATTTGTTTCCACTTAATTGCTAGGCCAGTAAAATTATGAATACATTCACATATTCTATATTAGTCATTAAAGATATGAAATATAAGCTATGAAGAATTCTTTCTGTACATTCTTATCTGATTGTCTTGCTCTTACTTATGCTCAAGGCACTTCTTTAAACAATTGTTGTTTCACTTACTTTTAAAAACAGGTAAATTTTGCATTTTTTCAAAGCTGATAGATATAGAAGCAAAACACCCAAATCCAAGTCTCATCTCTACTATGTAACTTGTGATTGGGAGACGCTAAGCAATGCAGGTGATTCTATTATCTTCCTACTCACTGAAGAAGATGGGGTCTCTGGCTCAGAAGTAAAACTTCCTCACATTGAGTGTATTTCATTATATAAAGTAATGTATCTGCACAATTTGCACTGTGAATATAAACTTCTGGTGTTCCATGGAATTAACTATAAACCACAACTGTGCTAGACTTATGCAAAAATTTCACCAAATGTTTCTTTCAAACTACCATTACTCTCCCAGTTGAAATATGAGTTCTAATACCTAAAATTCAGCATGAGAATACAATGTGAAAGCTCACAAAAATAGGAATGGTTTAATTGTTCCAAGGTCTTCTTGCCTTTGGGATTTAACATTTCTTTAATATCAAGTAACTTGTCTCATTCTCCTTAAAGAAATCCTGAGAAGTTTATAGGTTTAGATTAGGCTTTTTCAGTAAAATGCTGTGAGAGTTTAAATTGCTAACATCCCTGACCTTCATTATACAATGAACATATATGCGTCATCTACTATGAGCTACTTTGGTGTACAAAGGTAAATACGAAAATTAAGCCAAAAAGAAGTTTAAGGCATAGAGTTTATAACTACAAAATAGGTGGCATTTGATAGCCCTGGTGGAACCCTGTATATGTGCAAAATACTGTTATATAAAGGAGACATATTCCTGCTTAGAGGAGGATGGGAGAGAGACATCGTTTCATTTGTGTTCCAGAAGCCTCTGCAATGAAACAATGTCATCCTAGAGTTCACTTGATCATTTATAAAACAGTTCATCTTTCCCAAGGGAAATAAAATCCACTAAAATGATAAAGCAAAAAACACAGATAAAATTTTGCTGAATTTTATTATTAGTATGAAAAAATGATGAAAAGTAAAATAAGGAAATGTTGGGAACAACGAAAACCTACTATTAATAATTTGAAACAAATTTAAATGATACTCACGTAACCATCCTTGTGATAAGAAACAACTGTGATAATAAAATACAGAATCCCTGCTTTGTAATTATAAGCACATAGAGACACTTTTCTGATCAAAACTTTCTTCTGCTCAAGGTTTTTCTCAGGGCAACTTTTACTTCTTTGTTCCTCAGGCTATAGATTAAGGGGTTCATCATGGGAACCACATTGGTATAAAAGACAGAAGAGATTTTTCCCTCATCCATAGACCCAGCATAAGATGGCTTAAGGTACATAAATGCACCTGATCCAAAGAACAGGGAAACAGCAATTATATGGGAGCTGCAGGTGCTAAAGGCCTTAGACCTGCCTTCAGTGGAGCTTATGTGAAAAATGCTGGAGAGGATGAAACCATAAGAGATAAGAATTGTGACACTAGGCACAATGATGTTGATACCTGCCACAGTGAAAACTTCCAGTTCATTGACATAGGTGCTAGTACAAGAGAGTTGCATCACAGGCAGGATGTCACAGAAATAGTGGTTGATGGCATTTACATCACAGAAGGTTAGTCTTACCATGAATCCTGTGTGGGCCATGGCACCAGATAGTGCCATCAAGTATGAGCCAAGCATAAGATAGGAACACACTTTAGGGGACATGGCACTGTTATACAGAAGTGGATTGCAGATGGCCACATAGCGATCATAGGCCATTGACATCAACATGTAGCATTCAGAAATAACAAAAAAACAGTAAAAGTAGAGTTGGGTCATGCACCCTACATAAGAGATAATATTCTTCTCCAATATAAAGTTCATCAACATTTTGGGTGTAAACACAGAAGAATAACAGAGGTCTATGAAGGACAAGTTAAAGAGGAAAATGTACATAGGGGTGTGAAAGTGTGAATTTAGCCCAATTAGAATTATCAAACCCAAATTTCCCAATGCAGTGATCACGTATATTACTAGAAACAGGATGAATAAGGGGAGTTGGAGATCTGGCTGGTCTGTTAACCCCACAAGGATGAACTCAGTGACAAAAGAGCCATTTCCAAGATCCATTCTTTATTGGAATCTGTGGACACAGGGGAAAGGTGTTACATCAGAGTACAACCCATCTGTTCCCACAACATCTCTTAACATAAAAGTGGGGTATACACTGGCAATGTCCAAGTCTTGCCCAATCTGATCCCACAGAATCTGCTTTTACCACTGAGTGTTGTTATTACATTCTTCCAGAGTCAACCATGTACAACACCTCTCTAAATTAAACTTATGAGTAAACGTATGAGCTGCTACATGAAGCATGATACTCACAAACCAAGAGAGAAGGGGAGAAACAGGACAGAATAAACCTTGTCTCATATCATTTCTTGTTCCTTCACTTATTCTACCCCTCACCAATAAAATTAGAGGCAGAAATCTTAACAGTATTATACTGTCTTCTAATGCAGATAGGACTATGGTAAGGTGAGAACCAAAACATTGCTTCTCATTCACAGGTGAGGGACCAAACTATAGGAAAGGTTATTTACTTCTGCATGTCACAGAATCAAAGCCTAAATCTACAACACTGGGTTCTGTTCTAGGAAAGGAAACTTAGTAAACATTTATACACTCTGATTCCCCTCATGCCTCTTAACTTTGATCTCTGAGCTGTCTTTCTGTTGATTCTCCTGCTGGTTATACTTGAATCTAAGGAATAAAAAAATGGAAGCAGGACTATCTTAGATCCCTAAGGTTTCATCTCAAATAAAGAGAATCATAAATATACATGGCATTCATAAACTCACCATCAAAAAACGTTGGTGCTTCTTTATGCTTTTTATTCACTACCACGGGGCAAAGCACCTATTTCAAGCTTTGTGTCTTCAGTGCCCTTGATGTTAGGAGGATGTAGCACATACTTAATCTCTTATGTGTCCTGGAAATGTTGATGAAATACAGAGCATATTTTCTACTTGTGACTTTAGATCATTTCACATAACTGAGAACAATGAGTCATCCCTACTACCACATTTGCCACTTGATAAGATGTGGAAGACTTCATGTGAAAATGCACTTAACAATAAACAGAATAAAAGCTTGTTAGGTCTCTTCCCCAGAGAACAGGTCTGGAAAAGAATGTAAAGGGATTGTATTTTCACTCCAGACCATAATCTGTCTTTAGTTCCTGGGTGACTCAAAATCTTACTCAAAAGTTTTCCCTTCACCCTTGGGCATGTACAATTCCCAAGGCAGAGCCAAAAATAAACTCCCACCTCCCCATTGTCTCCACATCTGATGGGAAATGCATTGCCTTGTTTCTCTTTCTTCCCACATTCTAAATGAGAAATTTCCACGTGTTCTAGCTCCATTCTTCCTATTTTCTTTATTGGAATATCACTAAGAATTGTAATATTCCAGTTCAATTGTCTTTCATGGAATACTGCAGTTAGTATTATTAATTTTGATGGTACTAGGGTTTGAACTCAAGGCCTTGCACTTGATAAGCAGGTAATCTACCACTTGATCCTAGCCCTTTTTGCTTTAATTATTTTTCACGTTAGGGTCTCACATTTTTGGCCCAGGCAGCCTGGATCAGGGTCCTCCTATAGTGTACTTGGGATTACAGTGTGGGTCATTGTACCCAACTTCTTTGTTGAAATGTGCTCTTGCTAACTTTCATGCAGGCTGGGCTGTGACCTTAACCCACCCAATTTGTGCCTCACATGTAGCTGGGATTACAAGCATGGGCCAACTCACCTATACAAATACCTCACTTGAAAAACTATTTTCAAAATAAAAAAAATATAAAAAAGAAAAACTATTTTCTTCCTTCTAACATTCGTACTTCTAATCAACAATCAGAAATTTCAGGCTGATGATCTTCCTTGTAGTTTAAATGCAATAATTAATTTCAGAAGTTACCAAAACTGTTTTTGCTTCAGGTTCACCTTTTCTCAAACAGGTATGATGATTAGAAGCACATCTTTCATGAGACAGTCATGACAATTAAATAAGATATTGAGTCAGATGATTAGAACAGTGCTGGCACATTACCTAGAAAAGTCAGACATTGTTATTTATATTCTCATAATTGTGGTAGATCCCATATCATTGCACTCATCAGGCATTTTTCTCCTTTTAACTACTGTTTTTCCCTTAAAAAGTACAAATTTTGTAAGGATAAAAATCACTTCTGCCTTGTTCCTGGTGCTAAGTGTAGCACAGAGTACAGAGTAAGAAATTCTAAAATATTTATACAAAGTACATTGTTCTCTGGTTGAAATCTCAGTATTTTTGCCACATTTCTCACACCTTAAGAATAGAGTCTACAAGGTCAATGACTTCCATCTCTTTCCCCTGCCACCACACCAGTTTAGGAATTCTTTGGGTTAGTTGAACTGTACTGGCCAATTGTAGTGGCCCCTATCTGTTATTCTAGCATTTTTCCTCCTTTGTGTAGTTTCTGCACTACTGTTAAAATAAGCTCTGAAAGCACATCTCTGTTCCTCCCTAGCATAAGAATTTCCAATGGTGCTTCACTACACTCTGGGGAATTGAAGTCATAAAATAATATCTCAAAACTGTGATCCAGTCAGGTTTAAAATTAAAGAAGAAATTATATCAGAGTTATAACTGCTTACTTAGGGATATTTAAGCATATGCTTAATTAAAACACCCATCACCCATTTTATTTAGGGGTTTATTTTTCTAAAGTAAGCATAAATCTGGAGGTAGAATTCCTAGGGTTGGTTCATTAACTAAACAATCTTTATCAAGAACCAGGCTCTTCCACACCACCATCTTCAGTCTGTTGGCCTTAGTCTCAGGCTTATCACCTCATAGTCACAAAATAGCTATTATAGCTCCAAGAATCACATAAAAACACAACTACAAGGAAAGAAGAAAGCCAGACGAGAAGGAAAGAGAACTCGCCTCACATGTCTTTCTATGTAACATGAAAAATATCTTTTCTGCAGCCAACAGAGGACTTCCCTTTGTCTTTTCAGTAGAGGATGACATAATACAGCTAATCTAATTGGAAGGAGACTCACAAATTCAATCATTCTCATTTTTCCCCTGTGTTATAATATGAAGTTGCTGGTATTAGGGAAACAGGGAGGAGAAATATGACTTGGGTAGGACATCAACACTGTTTGCCACAAACAAGATTATGAACAGTGTGCAATAAGAAATATAATACACTTGTTATTTTAAGTGAGCATAATTGTCATTTTAAGGTAAAACATGTTATTTTTAAGTATTGCTAAAGAATATACTTAATTTTTTATTTACTTTTTAAAATACTTTTTCATTTAGTTACTCTTTTAAGCTTTAAATCAATTCAACTATCATGGAATATACAGATATACATATGTAAAAAATCATAAAATTTTACGGTTTTGAAAAATAAATATACATAAATATATATTTACTCACCACTTACATGTGTTGGATTAGGAAGGAAAGCCATCATTCTATTCTTATATAAGGAGGTTTCTCTTATTAGTCAAAAAGACTACCTAAATGCTTTCAAGTTTCTCAAAATAAGTACAGTCTTCACTCAAAGCAGAGTCTTGTATGCACATATCTTTGAAATCACTTTAGCAAGAGAGACAGAACAAAACATTTAAGCACTATATTTTTGAAGCACTCAAATTAATATTATTCATGTTGACATTTTAGTCTTCCATTTCAGTTTGAAGCTTATTCTTTACTGTGTTTTATTTAGGTTATTTCTAATGATTCAAATGGTTTTGAAACTACTAGACACACTATATTAGGGAACAAAGGGGAAACTTATAATTCAACATTACAGAAAATGATCCAAATTTAAGAGATTATGAATGGCCCTAAGATACCCGATAACTACTTGTGATATTGAAAAAGATACACCAGTGGGCTCTTTTATTTTTTAAATTTATTAACATGTATTAATTCTGCATGTTAGTGTGGTTCCGTGTACTCAGTTTTGACTCATCAAATTCAGCCTCATTTATTCACCCTCCCCTCAGCCTCTATTATTCTATATTGTATGTTTTAATTGATTGTTTTTAAACTTTCACATGTGAATAAGAACATGTAGTCCTTTGAAAACTATTCATAAAGACAGCTACACACTGTTGTTCACAGAAGCTTTATTTGGAACTGCCAAAACTTGAGAGCAACCAAAATGTCCTTTGGTAAGCAAATGGATGAATAAATTGTGATCTAGTCTATGAAGTATTATTCAACACTAAAAAATGAACTGCCAAGCCATGAAAAGTCATGGAAGAATGTTAAATGCTTATTACCTAACCAAAAACAGTCAATTTGAAAAGGACATATGTATTATTCCAACTATATGAGTCTCCTGAAAAGCAAAAACTGTGGTGCCAGTTAAGACACTGGTAGTTGTCAGGGATTTGAGAGTGAAAAAGGGACAAATAGACAAAGTAGAGATGATGTTTAGGGCAGTGAGAGCTCTCTGGATAATACTGTAATGATGCACATAAGCCATTATACATCTGCCCTAACCCATAAAATATACAACACCAAGAGCAAACACTAATTTAAATTATTGATTTGGGATGAATATGTGTGCATGTGTGATGTATGCACATATTGAAACATATATACATATATATATAAGTTTGCATGTATATAAGTTTATGAATAATATGTTATATGTACATGATATATGTCACTGTGGGGGATATTAATTGTGTGGTTAGCTATGCATTATGCACTTGTGGGGAAAGAGAACTTATATGGGCAATCTGTGAACCTGAAAATAGTCTTTACAAAATAACATCTAAAAGAGAAAACACGCTCAAAATCATACAGTAGGGAAATGCAAATTAAAACCATAATGAGGTATCATTTAAAACCTATTAAATGCATTAAATTTATTATAAATGATTATAACCTGTGCAATGAGGATGCAGAAGAATAGAATTAAAAATGGTTGTCTAGTTAGAAGAGTTTGAAAGTTTCTCATAAAGCTGTCCTCATCAGAAATATTCACCTAAGTGGGTAAAACATGTTCACACAAAAATTGCACACAATAGACATAACTGCCAAAGCCACTCTTCTTCTTTTTGTATAGAGAACCTCATGGGTTTTATTAGTTCCAAAATTTCATCAGTCAATGAAGATCATAAGTTTTAATTATGTTTTGTCCTAGTCATAATCATTAAACTTTAAAAATGGAATCTACATTGCACTCTTCATTTTTGAGGTAACACCAGGTAGCATTATGTAAGTGATTTTATTCTGAATTTTAAGATTTAGAGGCTTAACATAAAGACTTCACCAGGAGTCCCTGCAAAATTCAATTCCTTTAGGAAAGACAGAATTATGAAATAATTTAGACACAGATTAGGATGCTTTAATCCTGGTGATTTTGATAACTCTCTAGTATACTCAAAACTTCACATCAGTGATTTCACACATCCAAATGCATATAATGCAGGAAATGCTTTGTTCCCTCCTCTTTCTCTTGGCTGTTTCTTAAACTTTTAGGTACAGTTGTTTGCATAGCTAGTGACTTATTAGAAATACCACTTGAAAATGAATGAAATCCACATATATAATTTCTTATATGCTTATAAGTTTAACATTATGACACATGTGATTGCCTGTTACTGAACAGTTTTAAAACTTTTTTAAAAAACACTTTATTTTTACTCAGTACTAGCTTTCCCTTCTTGGTACCCCTTGATAGTGATCTTAATCACTAAATCAAAAACTTGCAAAAATGCTCCCATATGTTATTACTTGATCAAGTAATCAAATGCATTCACAGGGGCCATGCGTTTGATTCACAGAGGTATTTTCTACCTATTTCTTCTATCATCCAATTTTTTTCAGTATTGGGATTTGAACTCAGGGCTTTATGCTTGCTAGGGGGCACTCTAGTGCTGAGCCTTGCCTCCAGCCTTTTCTGCTCTGTTTTGTTCTGAAGATACGGTCTTGCATTTTTGCCCAGATCAGCCTGGACCAGGATCCTCCTATTTTATGTTTCCTACCATAGCTGGGATGACAGGCACACACCATCATGTTCAGCTTTTCTCCATTGATATCAGTCTTGCAAACGTTTTTACCCAGGCTTGCCTGAAACCACGATCCTCCCTATCAAAAGTAGGCTAAGAAGACAGGCATATACCACCATTACCAGCTAATGGTTGAGATGCCCAGGCTGACCTTGAATCATGATCCTCCTGATCTCAGCCTCCCAAGTGGTTAGGATTCTAAGCATGAACCCCTAGTTCCCGGCTTCTTTTTGTCATCTAAACAACACTTCTCTGAAACATCTCCAATATGCTATGTCATTGATGTATCATTATATATTTGACCACTCCACATTTCTAGAAATTCAGATTTTTTGGGTTTTATTATAAAAATTAATGATAAAATAATCATAATCATGCTTGTCTTCATATGCTAGTAGTTTTGTTTCAATAAGATAATCTACTGAATTTTGTCTTTCAGATTAATATGAATAATCTTAATTTCCACAGGCAATTAGACTAGCCTAAAAGTATATTTTGCCAGATATCTAATTATATTTTACTTCCTCAATGAATTAGGGAAATGCTTGATTCATTATATCCTCAAAATATAATGTAATTCCAGATACAATACTGTCCCATCTGGGATTGCTTCTCCTTCTTAGAGTCTGTGGTGCTGAAGTGGAGGTCTTAAAATGCAAAATTAATTTGTTTAACACTAAAATATTCTACTTGAAAAGGATGCTTAAGATCTACTGTTTAAACATTTTTCCTGTTAAAATTAGAGAAACTGTACAGTGATAAGACTCACTGGGTCCATGAACCCAACATATGTGCTGATTATTTCCTACTAAAGGGTTGGTTCTGTAATGTGTTCTTATGTTAGACTGTTGCAGAAGGAGAGGGAAAAGAGAAGACAAGTGCAATTGATCTTTTATATTTCCTGATCAATTTCATTTTCATTTTAGTCACTCCAAATCTTGTGTACCCCAAGAAGTTTTTCTTTAAAAAGGGATTCTAAATGTGGCAATTGACCTGGCCTTAGAACTATCAATTAAAATATTAGCAATAGTTTTTGGTCCATATTGAGTTAGTAGAAAGGGTTAAAATTAAGAAATCACCTACAGATGAAAATACAGTTTTTCAATAAAAATCATATATTATTAAACTTAGTGATAAGTAAAAATATAAATATAGGACCCATAATTTTCATCTTTCTATCTTATAGTTTCTAGGAATTGTACCAATTTAATCATCTTCAGTAAAATGATATATTCTAATTTTAAAGGGAGAGCTTCTTTTATAATCTGATTAATGTCACTCATTACTTAAACATCCAAAAATAATGTGTAAAGAAAAAACTCAAGAAGCAACTATTTTAAACTTCAAGCATCTTGACGTCATCTAGCAGACACTTATGACTCACTAAAGCCCCAGACATTTAACTCATTTAGATAGATAGATAGGTAGGTAGATAAATAATAAATGATAGATAGATATATAATAGAAAAATGAAATAGACAGATGAATATACACATACACATACATACATAGAAACAGATAAGGATATGGATATACCAGATATTAATTTTGTTGGCTCCTGAGTCTCTGGTAACTCAAGGCAATAGTTCACAAGAGTCAAATATGTAACCAGTTGGCCCCATAAGTATCAAAAGGTACATCTCAACAAAGAAACCTAAGACATGTAGCTTCTGAGACTTTCCAGTATTAGTGGGTTTCCTGTCAGACTAGGCAAGAAAGGACTCTTATAATGTTAAATCAACACCACCAACCATCCTCAGTGAGGATGTATGGTCCTACTTAGAATGACAAAAAATTATAAAGTCTGACTTTACTAATTTTCTTCTTCATTACCTAGAAAACAAGAAATGGCATTGGAACATTATTTTTGTTGTTTGCTTGTTTTTCATACATACTCTCAAATGTTCTCTGTGCAAATGCTCACTCATTTTGAGGGAAAAGAATCAGCTTCTAGTTGCACTTTATTAATATTTATATATCTGTATAAACAACAGTTATAATGCAACTTGATACACATTATAAAAGAGGAAAACACCAATAAAAATCAAGAAACAACCAGTCTTAGGCAATCAAAGATTTCTTTAGGCAGGTTGGACAAGTAGGTAATAGAATAAGGAAAAGGACAAGACAATATACCCAGAAAGAAGTAAATATTTGTATCAGTGGTTAAAATTGCATCAACTGTAAAACACATGTTCTGAGATATGGCAGATGAAGTTTCACTTTATTGTTTACTTCACAGTTGTTTGACACACACAATTCTGCTATCCATTATAATTTCT